GATTCAGGTTTGTACGTATATAATGCATAATGGCTCTAATTTAAATGGAGATCAGGAACACAGGGATCCCGAAGCTGTGTTGTACTAATTAGAGAAATATTTAAAACACATTAAATAATACTGTGCAGTTGTGAGAGGTGCTAAATTGGTTTGTATGTCTTTGATGCAAAATGTTGTAAAACTACAGTACAGTAAAGGCTATCTGAAAGTCAGTCTGAAAAAAGAGATTTGAAATTTTAAAAACAAACCAAAACAAACATGAAATATCATTTGAGACTTTTTTGAAACCCCCAAAAACCCCATGAAATACCATTTACTGACAGTTTCCAGCAATGATTGGTGATCTCAACTAAGTTTTCAGCTCATGTATGTTCACACCTGACTCCCTTTTTTTCACTCTTCACTTAGTTTAGCTACACAGTTAGCATTTATCAGCAAAATCTACAATTGCATTTTGAAATTTTGAAGCTGGATAAAGCGTTTTTCACCTCTATATTTTAATAGATATTTCTCATGGTTGAATGTTCTACAGAAGACTAACCAAATTAAAATTCATACCAACATGTAGCGATTCTTTACTTTCATGAGTACAAATCCATAGGAAGTTGTTTTTAATTAAGCAAAGGCTCAGACACTGGGGCATTCTGCATAGTCTCATTCAAGTCCATCCTAAAACATCAAGCACAAATATGGTTGGTCTTTCCTAAAGTGAAATGACGTGGATTACTTGGGCATGGCAGCCTTGAGCTGGGACAGAGATACAGCAAGGTGTGAGGATCCAGTGAGTGCTGTAACCTCTACACTTGCTTGGCTGACACAGGGCTGACAGAGCAGCATCTTGCAGACATGCCCTGTGCTAAAGTCAGCACTGGACACGTGTGCATGTGTTTCAGTAAGGATAGGCACTCACTGTGGTTCTGTACCAATGAAGATGGGTTATAGAACTTAAGATAAATATTTTGAAGCCTATTTCAGATCTCTTCACTGTCTCTGTTACCAGTGGCCCCCAAATTGACTGATACAGAAACCTGGGCTGGATTTTTTTTATTTACATTCAGTACCTGTTTGCTTGACTGAATAACTGAACAGCCATCACTTTCCCAAAACACCAATACCACGGGACTATCTAACAAGCCAAGCTACCTATAGACCCATGGTTACCAGAACACAGCCTTTCTTACTCACACCCACATACATCATATCTCTGAGCTGTAAAACATGTTTCTCTCCATTTACCCTTCCCATCACAGCTTCTGATTGAAGAAGCAAAAAGATAATCTGTGACTACTAACAAAATCTCAGTGGCAGATCTTTTCCATTGCTCACTGGGAAATGCCAAGCAAAAGCACTTTGCACCTCACCCCGTGCCCTCCCAGGAGCCCAGCTGTGCTCCCTGGAGCTGTTTGTCAGATCCAGTGATCCTCAAGCTTTGTGTGTAGTTTCCTGGGCAGTCACTGTACCCCAGGTGACTGGGTATGCAGTGGATTTTTAAAGCCAGGCTCTTTTCTGATCTCTCAGTTATTTCTATGGCCAGAGGGGTTTTCTTCTTCTGTGATTTATATAGAATAACTTAAGGTAACTTCACTATCACTTTATTCTTACCTGACAAACTTCACTGAGGTTTTCTCCTGCTTTGATTAGTTGGCAAATGAGTTTTTGAAGAAAAACCCATGATATTACCCTTTCTAGTGACAAAACTGATTTAAAAGATGACTAAAAGAAGGATGTAATACTACATAGAACACTGAAATAATGGATCACTGCAGCCAGGACATTTCATGTGAACATTTCATTGTATGGGAAAAGGTTATAAAAATATATTGATATAGTAGAAAGAGAAAGATCAAAATAAAGGAGTGAGTATTTAATTTTTATCTCTACTATTTATATTTTTCGTCATGTATTTTAAATTTGGATAAGTGACTTTTTGTTTCTATTATGGTATCCGACAACCACTATGTTACTACATATATAGGCACGAATAAAATTTTCCTCTTCTTGGCTTATTAATGTTGCTATTCCTTGTGAAAAGGAAGAAATGTGAAGGAAGAAATATTTTTTCGTCTTTTGCTTGCATCTGTAGCTATGTTCAACTGGCTTCCAGCTACAAGATAATCACGTCTAGATAAAGTAGGATTCTTTAGGGAGTTGGACTACGAGATGAAAAATTCTCTGCAGACTAGAAAACATATTTTGCAGAAAAGATTTAAATTACAAGTCTCTTTCATGCTACACAACATAACTGCACAAACACTTTACATCAGGAATTACGCTTTTAAAACCTTTAACGCAATAAAGACCCTTAGTGAGATTCAGCAGTGATAATGCAATGAACAGCAAAACTGAAGAAATACAACTGCTGATAAAATCCTCAGGCAGATGGGGCTGTCTGTACTGAGGATACAGGGTATGTTGTACATCTTCACTTAGCAGGTTTTCTTACATTCTAATTATGTCCCCTGCAGCTTTAAATTAAGAGTAGATTGTTTTAGAACTGGTAGGTTTTCCCATTTTAGCTTGCATGTGAGGATTCAGCTACTTATCAAAGAATCAGCATTCTATAAACCAACCTGCCATGATTTTATGTGTAGCAATTCGTCTGTAAAGGCCTTAGGAGAGGGCTCTCTCTTTTTCCCCTCTACATGTAAACAGCAGCTGGTTCAAGAATGTCCCAGTCCCAGAGTAACCTTCCTAGAGAGAAGCTTTATAAACAAATTCACTGGAAAAATCCAGCAGTTCCCAGAAAGCCAAGGTGCTTTCCAAACTCCTTTCCTCAGTGCATGACAATAGAAGGTTATTAGCAGCAGAACTGTGGTAGTAAAAAAACTAGACCCTTTACAAATGGAGATTCTCCCTCCCTTTTTCACACCAGCAAGCTTCAAAATTCAGTCCAGCTTCAAAACCGTAAGGACAACCCAATGCTCAGAATAATTAAAGCCTTGCAGAGTTTTTGTTCTGGTTCTTCAGTGTCTCTTATTTACTTCAATTTTTGTCAGTCTGAAGTTTATTTTGTGCCTTTGTGCTGAGGACTCGTGGTTTTCTTGCCGATTTGTACTGGAAATTATGGTAGTTAAAGTTCTGTTTCCCAGAAGAAGATTCTTACTTCAGCAAGTCAAATATTTATATGATGTCTCCTCTACTGAGTAATGACAGCATTCTATGTAGAATTTTTTAGAGATGAGACACTTTGTAAGTTCCAGACTTGCATAATCTGGAAAATTCTGAATTCTCCTGTGTTTCATTACATTACTGCCTCTCTCTTTTCCTGTTGAAGTAGCAAAATACTTGCTCTAGCTTGATGAGCTCCTTCCCACATTTAAAAGAAATTTGTTTGGGTGTAGAAAATGTCAGGTCTCCTGCAGCAAAGCTCATCTGAGTTTTATTCTTCTGTTTTATTACCTTCTAATGTTCCAAATCTATGGCCAAATCCATTATTCACAAATACTATTTGCAGCACTGAACCAACCTTAAGTCCAACTGAGAAGTTTTCAGAACAGTTATGTTGTGTGGTACTGGATGATGTGTAATAGCACCACTATTTGGAGCTCAGGTATCCAGCTGAGATCAAACTTTTCAATATCATTACTAAATTTTACAAATAGTCAAGATTTATTTTTATTTATTATTTTAATTTCTTTTTAAATGAGGAAGAAGAGTATCTCTGGTCAAAACTGCAAGCGGGTCTGGGCAATTATTTCTAAAAGGCATCCCCATACTCCCTTCTGTTGCTGTGGCTTTTGAGACAATTGCAAATTGGGATAGCAGCACCACAGTCAGGCTTTGAAGGATTCATTCCTGAAAGCTGACAAATTTGTGCTGGGGATAAAAAGACTAAGTTCACTGCAGGGTCTTGAGTCTTTATTCTTTGGCAATGGAGAGAAAGTGAACTCATCAATCAAGGAGAACCATAGCTGGATAAAGAGTTTTAGAGCAATTGGTGGTGAACTGTTTGCTAGGCAGCTCCTGTAAATACAGATACTCAGGACCACTGGGGAATGCTGTGGGGACTTATCTGCTGCCCTCCTAGTGGAATACAGTAAGACTGGTAAAGTATTTCAAAGCAATTTGTAATCAACTCTCAGACTGTTGGGTAGGTAACACTTCCTATGTCCCTCAAATCTTCTGCATTTTTGCAGCTTTGGTAACACCTTAGGAGTGTAGCTGAGGGCAAAACCTAGCTCAGTATGTGCATGCATGGAGCCCTGCTTAAATGGTTGGTTTAAAGTCCATAGTTAGAAGAGCCCAGTTGTCAATTTATGTGTTGTGTTTATGGAAAAGGGATGGAATGCAACTGGGTTTATTATTAACTAGATTGGAAACATATAAAATTGTGAAAATCTACAACAGGTTCTAACAACTGAATCTCTTTTTTTCGAGGTATTTCAAGATTCTTACTAGACTGCACATCTCAGATAGCATTGCCTGGTTATATAAACCAGTGATAACGTTTCCTGTGAAACTGGTGAGGATGTAGCAGTGCATTTTGAAGTGTGACTTTGTTGCCTCACTGTCGCTGTGAGTTGTTAAATATGTCTCATTTGGAGACCTTATCTGGAACTTTGAGTACAGCTAACATTTAAAAGCTCATAGAATAAACCCATTCATTTAGAAATATTAGAGCAAGCCACAGAGCTGATAGTGGAACTGCCTTTGTTTAAATGTTCTTCAATATTAGACAAATTAGTCTTAATAATGTTTTCTTACATTTACATTATCTTTCCTTTTGAAAAATAAACAGCTCAAACCATTGTCCTCTGCTACCAGCAGATGACAATTATTCAGAAAAGCCTTTACTTTGGAATTGTCTCTGGTGTTTCAATACAATATTTGACAGTTGAACAGGAAATAAAATTTTTACAAGATAACTGTTTATGTTCAGTATTCATGTGATAAGTTTACTGAAAAGAAGCTGAAGAGAATAAGAACCTGTTTAATACTGTAAATTGAGCATAAGTGTTAAATGCTCTGTCTGAATGCCTGTCTTATCTTTCCTCTGACAGGTTGATAATGTATGGCTTTGTGAAGGCCATGGTGCACATGGGCCAGTTAAAGCAATGGGAATTCCACTTCACTGACTGTTTATTTTTTGGATCGCTGATGTCTGCCACAGATCCAGGTAACAACTTAAAATAAATTGCTTTTTCAAAAGTCAGAAGAGTAAATAAGAACATCACAATCATAAGTCCCATAGAAATGTTTGAAGTCTCTGTTCTTGATGTTTTCTTCCCATAGCTCTTAAATGTCTGGTATTCTGATAATCAAGTCAAATCAGCTCCAGAGATCCCTTGTGTTTGTTTTAGTGACTGGTTTACCTCGGTTTAGCTCACAAACTTCATAATTGGAGTGGCTGGAAAGATTGGAAAAATGTCCTCCGATCTCCAGGATACCTCCCTGCTGATTGCTGTGTGAGAACTGCTGTATCCTGGGGCCTCACAGTTCAAAATCCCCACATCACACCCATGTGTGATCTAACCCAGCTTAAAGATACGGGGAATGAAGCTTTCAGGTTTGGCCATATGAATACTGTTTATAAGGCATCAGTTACGGTTTGAATGCAGAGCTCATATAAATACAACTCTAAAAAATCCGACACCAACAGATTGACTTGAATTTGCAGACGTGAGATTTAAAGTCTGAAGTTGCAGTAAATAGCAAAGTCTGGGAAGCAGACTCGGAAGCAGACTCAGTGAGTTTTGGAATCCCAGAAGTACAGAATTCCTTACATTTGAAGGGATGTCTGGGGGTCTTCTAGTCCATCCTTCTAATCAAAACAGGGCTTATCTCAAAGTAAGCCTAGGTTTCATAGATTTTTCCAGGTTTTGTTATGTTGAAAATGTTAATAAGGGTACTCTAATATTAAAAGGAAGGTATTGCTATTTGCATCTGTGGGACAACAGCGAAGGACAAGGTGAAAAAAGGATTTTTTAATATGTTGTCTGCTGAGACAAAGTACAAATTTTGCAAGGGTATGTTGGAATTTTTCAAAATGTTCAGCTGAGCTGTTCCAGGCAATGTAACAGAAAACATTTTGTCATGCACATTAGCGTTAACTACCCTTGAGAAACTTCTCTGAGAAACTGAGGAATAAAGCTTTCAAATCCCTGGCTTTGAAAAAAATGAGAAAAAGCCATTTGTTCTACAATTTTTTTCCATTCTTTAAATGATCTCTCAGTATTTAACAAGATGCTTTTGGCTTGTGATTTATCATTCTGATGGCTTAAAAATATGGTCTAAAACAATTTATTTCCACAAAAGCAGTTGTTGCAAGATTGCTGTAAAAGCTGCATCAAGTTGTTATTCTCAAATTAATCTAAGCATCCAATACGCTGCCACTTATCACCCAGCTACATTATTAAGATTCAGCACATGATTGGAGCCTATCCTCAGAGCAAGAGAAAAACACAGAAACTGAAAACACAAGGGAAACCTTGGAAAATAAACTGCTTATGGAATAAAAGGGTGCTTACAATTTCTAAGTATGTTTCTTGATGGTGACATGAATAGGGTTTTGCAGCTGACTTGGTTTCTTTTCCCATTTTCCAGTCCAATACTATTTAGTTTCACAAATTAACATGTTGACTTATGAGGAGTAATGTATAAGACAAATGCACTGATTTTGATTAGAATGGTATTAAATCACCACTGATTAATCTGAAATAAAAAAAAAAAAGAAAAGAAAACAGAAGCTCCTCTTAGACTGTAAGGAATAAGAAGTGACAAGGATTTCTTTTCCTAGATTTTTTAAATAGGCTTAAAAATCTAATGCTGCAGTTGAGAAAATTGCTTTTAGTGTGACAAACTGTCATTGATTAATATTGTTTGCAATTACTCCTTACTTATATAGTGTCTGCTCATGTCCAAGAGGTTTTTCAATGTTCAGTCTTGCTCCTTCTGTTATCTACTCACAGTATTCTAAGTTGTTCCATGTGTTCACTAACCTTATCCATAAATTTCAACCACTCAAAGACTTAGAGAATTTTGAATTAAGTTTTTCATTAATTAAATGGTGGAGACTGCTGAAAATATTTCATTGTGTTCCAGGATCTGCTAATGAATTATAATCTCAAGCCATGTAAAGAGCTCACTGGCATTCCAAAAGTTAAAGCTAAAATTTTGTGCCATGGAGGACTGATATGTATTAGAGCATAAAATAATCAGTCTAATGATTTTATATGTGATAACTAGGTTTTGATTTGGTTTTCTTAAAGAAATATTTGGTAAAATGTCAGCATTATAGAAGTAGTCTAGAACAATAAATTAGTGTCTTAAGATGAAATAATAAATTCCTGTCAGATTTCCTACATGATTTTTCATTTAATTTTTCACTGTGTAGGATTATAAACTCATTTTAAACAGAGATTTAATTTCCCTTGGCTGTTGGAAGCAATTAAGTCTCAAAATATGCTAAAACTGATCAGTTGACAGAAGTTGGTTTGATTGAGTTCTGTATTTGTAATTGTAAAGATGACTGGTAGATGTTTACATGATAAATAAAGATTTTTACTAGCAGGGCAGTGAACAAATATCTGCCAGTTAAAGTCGCCAATACTGTTAAGAAGAACAAAAAAAATATTATAGCACTCTGTAGGTTTTAGTTTTGAAAGTTATCTGAAGATAATTAATCTAGACATTTTTGCATAAAAATAATTCAGAAGAGTTGCTCTTACATGCTGTGTGTTCCTTTATATAGAAAACTAGCTCTTGAACTAAGATTAAGAAATTAATTTGAGACTGGATATACTTGGGACTGTGTTTTGCATTAGAGACTGTGATCCCTAAACATCAGTGATGCTTTGGGATGCCTCAAAAGAACTTTCATGTCTCTAGACAGGAAAGTTAGAAACTTCAGGGACAAAAGAAAGTTACTTTCAACTAAACAATTCGTTTTACAGAGAATATCTCCTTTAAATAATTTATTATTTTCAGCAGGAAAAGTTTGTTATTTTAAGACTTCAGGTGAGAGATTTAATTTAAAGAAACAGAATTCTAAAATTCCCAAATTATCACTTCCTTAATCTTTGATTTAAACATGGCCAGTATTTACATTCTTCTTTATTCTGATCAATCTTGTTATTTCATCTGTATCAAACAGCACAGATTTCTCTCTTTTGCTGTAGAAAGGGTTTCCTCATGTTAGTATTGCATTTTGATTTCTAATGGAACCTGACTCTGGGAGTGTTTGGCTGTGATCCCCTCAAAGGGGATGGAGCAGTTCCTTCCTATATCCTCGTGCACATGTCACTCATCAAGAGCAGCAGTGAGAGCGTGGCAAAGGTGCTGCTGTGGGCGTGGAGCCCCCAGCGCTCGGCCCCGAGCAACAGAGACCTGGCAAATGAAACCCTCTGCAGGGTGAGCACAGCCTGGGTGTTCTGACAGCAGCTGTGCTCTGCTGGGAAGGCAGGTCAGCAACGAGCCCCAGCTCCAGGGCGCCGGTGGTTGCAGCAAATGAATGGACAGAACAAAACCGGCACGTGAATGTAAAGATCTGAGCTCTGCCTCAGCCACCAAAAATAACCCAATAGTGTGAGTGGCACATTGTCTTGGCTGCTGCCATTGACACGTTCTGTGCAATGACCTTCCCATCCAGACACATCTCACGTGTCTTTAGCACTTCCTTTTTCTTTTTCACTTTTGACATTTCAAGTGTAGAAAACAGCTTTACCTTACAAGGGTTTGCTGGAGCACGGCTATTTCTGAGCTATATGAACTCCCTTACCTTTGGTCACATTGATAATCACAAGGCTCTTCCCTATTTGGAGTTACTATGGTTACAGCTGAACTGGAGCTGTGGGTTGCACTGCTCTTGTTATTGATAAAATTGGATATTTATCAGAAAGAGCAGTTTCTGTTTCTCATGAAATCAAAGGATTTCATATTAAGAAGCATAATGTACAAATACAACAACATAATACATTTCATATACTGGTTATGTAGGACTTTATAAATGTGGTTTTAATTAAAATATTTGTATGCTTTCTTCTTTTTCACCACTGAACTAATCTGTGAGTGGTGTGGCTGATTAATAGGGAAAGAAGACTATAACTTAAATTGAAATCTTTATTTTTAGACCAACTCAATAGGAAATATAAGTTAAATTTCTCTCATCTTATTTTCTTCCTGTTTGACACTGCCCTCCTAAAAGAATTTATGCCCATGAGAAAGATATTAATAGTTCTAGTCAGAGGACTGAGGTACAATAATACCAGTACTTTATATAATGGTCTCATTTATTTTCTGGGTTTCCTTATTCTTTTTAAACATAACAGCAAAGTAGCATTGGTACAGTTAGTTTAGGGATTGTTGTAGTTTGCTGATATTTCGGTCGCAAATACTTTTTACAGGGATCAATAACAAGCCCATTTGTTTCTACATATGTCAAAAGTTACCTTTCACAAACCAGCTCCACAGACACTTGTTATGACTTGGGTACAACTGAAAGCATGTTAAGCTTATCATCTAGCAGATGTTCCCTAAGGCCATGAAGTTAAGGAAGAAGTGAATCAGATTTCTGCTGGCACAAGTACTGTGAAAATCTTAAATGCTTCACTATTTCCTGCTTCCCATCTCTGAATTTTTAAGTGAAGGTCACAACTCTTTCTGAGTCAGCAGCTCTCATACACATTATTTCCATTGGCGTCAGTTTTTACTGCCACAAAAAGTGTTTGTGCTCCCCCAATTACCTGTCCCTTAAGCCATCAAGTTCTTTACCTGTCTTTATCCCTGTCCTCATATACTTACACTGAAATAAGAGATGAAGAGGTATTGTGTACTTTAACGAAAAGTAGTTTGGTGTCTTTATAATAGATATTGTATCTATTGAATTGTGCAAGTCTTTGAGTAGTTTCCACACAAAACCCAAGCTGTACTTACTGTTCCTCAGAAGTGCCTTCAGAAAGTCAGGGAGGCCGTGCTAACTGCAATGCAGTGTCTATGGTCTTTACTTAAAGTTCTCACAGATTAGACATGTCACTGTGATATATGATTATTTTAAAATTAATTCCCTTGAGTTTAAAGTCAATCATCAGACAAAACATGATGTGTCTACTTTGGACATGATGACTATTCCTAGGGTGTGATTCTATCCAGAGAGCAATTTAAATTAACTTTCTTCCGTAGCAGAATGTCATGTCCCTTTTATCATGTCTGTTCTGACCTATACCCATAGATTCTCATAATTAATGAAGGCAAATGCGATCTGGGGGAAGTGACTACATGCTGGTTGTCAAAACAAGGTGCAAATGTTTTCTTGAGCTCTTAAACAGGGCGGGTGTGCCAAAGATTCTGCAGTTCTCTGTTGCTACGCAGATACTATTTACAATGTTCATTAATGAGTTGGCTAATGCAACAGAGGGGGCTTCTTCAATGTATAATATTATGCTTAAAGGAGATTGCAAACACTTTGAAAGATGTGATTAGAACTCAATATGATTCCTGTAATGATTTAAAATCAAGAAGGATAAATGCTACACTTAAAAAAATCAACCTCATAGATAGCAGACAAGAAGTGAGCATTCACTTATGAGAAGGATTTCAGGTTTACAACCTGAAAATGAGTCATAAGTACCAATACATAGCAAAAAAAAAAAGGAAAATAGGATTTATTAACATGTTCTACAGCATCTTTTCATTCTATTTCTTGACAGCAAATGTCAACTACAGTACTGGGATCTGGTTTTGGGCACTGTATTTCAGGAAAGATGTGCACTGATTAGAAGGCAAGAAAACCTTACTAAAGGGAGGAGATTGAAAGAAGTGAGTCAGTTTAGGGAGGAGATGTCTGAAATGAGTCTTTGAATAGGCAAAATGCTGCTGGAAAGAAAAACTGAATAAATGTGACAAATTATCTGTGTCTCATGAGGCTGGGAATGGAAATTACAGACTTGAAGAGCAGGAGGGGAGATTTAGGTTAGACATCATTCAGAAATAACTGCATTTATAAATTGTATGAATACTGAAGAGTAAGTTACTCTCCCTTGGGATTTGTGGAACCAGCATCACTTCAGTTCCTTAAAAACAGATCAGAAAAATATCTGTCAGCAGTGGTATGGTTGAAGCTTGCTGTGTCTTGGGCTAGACAAACATAGGGACAGAGCAGAGACCAGAATCCTTGGGTCAGGGACAGGTAGTGCTGTAAAGAAGATCCTATAACCTCCACTGGAAATGAGAAAACATTTGAAATAGAAGATACTTTCTGAAAACTGGGTGAACTGGGCAATCGATGCATTATTGTGTTGCTTGCTTTATTATTTTGCTTTCATTTCAAAAGATTTGAAGTCATATTTTTGGGGTAGGGTTGAGAGAGAAAGCAAAAGAAATCTGTTTACTTAGGAGGAAAGAAGGAGAGGAATGTGTAGGCATCTGTCTAATTGGCTTGGCCTGCTACACATACAAACCAACAGGACTTTGGACTTTACTGCTTTCTTTTCCTTCTATCATTACCACAGGGACTATTAATGAGAGTCCAAACTAATTAGCCAATAAACAAAAGCTGAAAGTGGCAAATAGTTAAAACAAGTCTGTTGTTATGGCAATGACATCAAAGAACAGAGCACTAAACTGGGTCCACATTTAGCACATTAAGTCAGCATTGCTAATCAGGAAAAAACCTGAATATAGATGTTGGTGAACCCAGAAAATATCGTTTGTCAATAAAACTCCTTCCTACACCTTTGAGCTATTCTGGGGAAAGAACTCTTTTCCTAGTTTAAATTATAGCTGCAGTGGGAGTAGATGGGTGAGGTTACCAGGATGGTTAAATATAACTAGCTAATTTAAATATAGCTATATCAGCAAATGTTCAGCTACACACATCCCCTAAATTGTCTTCTGTAGGATAACACTTCCAAAATTCTTCAAAGATAACACATCAACAGAGATCACTTTGACATAAAATCTCACATGAGAACTGAGAATCTATTTTGGGTTTATAAACAGATTTTTAGATTACATAGATATTTAAATGTCATTTAGAAAATCTAAGGAGTAATGATTTCAAAGTTCCAAGAAATATTATTAAGACAAAATGTCATTAGCTGTTCATGTTTTTGTGTGATTTATCAGCAGTCATGTGAATGTAAAAGCATATAATTGTCATATCTAAAATGTCAGAGGTGAACAAGGCATCCCAGAGGCACTCCTAAACTTTGGGATTCCTGGGCCATGAGGACTGAGTCATTTGCACAATTATGTACTAGAATGAGCACCAGTGAAGCAGTGAGTTATCATGTAATTTTTAACCATACAAGTAACTGGGTGCCTTTACATTAAATTCTGTTTGAAAAGAGAAAGCTCTGCTTGCCCATGCAAAGATAAAATAATACCAACACATAACATAAACAGTCTTCTTCAGTTGGAGATTATGAAGTGCAAGGTAGATCTTGGGAAGGACTGTGATACCCTGTTTGTAGGTAAGAAAACTGAGGCATAAAACAGATAAGGCATAAGTTAAAACTGTAGGACCTTATTTCCTGAATATGAACCAAGTGTCTAAATGCCCCTGAGGATGTTTGTCTAAATGTTTTGCCCAACTTCAATTTAAATTCAACACACTATTCTTTTTCTACTACACTGGTAAACTAAAAATCAAATAGAGGCTATAACTCATGAAGAAGGAAGGAATGTTAGTTAATGATACGCTGAAGGCAAAGGGTTACAGGTGTCAGATATCCTGATCTGGACCACAAGGCTGCATGACCACAGATATGCTAATCCAAGGGGAAAGTGGTTCAGGACAGCCTAAGTTATTATGCATATTCTTCAGTGAAAAAGCGTAATAGATGGATAAGTGTTATTAAATCCTTCTTAAAACAGGTAAACCACTACTTATCGAACACAAAAAAAAAGCCCATCTTTTCATCACCCTTGTTTTTTCTATAGTCACAAGATCACAGTCCCTTATGCACAGTGAAACATGCTGTGACATTTTCATATATGCATGATTCTCTGTGTGAGAGGGAAAGTGTCTTCCTAATTCAGCTGAAACACCAAAACTCATAGACCTAATTGATTTAAGGATCTTATATACTCCAGTTGATGCCTTTTAACTTATTATTAACCACTTAGGCAATAAATAGGACTAGACTTCTCAAAACTCATGTTCTAACATTGCTTTATTTCTTGAACTGCCAGAGGAACATGAAAATAAGAACTCACTTTGCTTTGTTTCCATACAGTGACAGTTCTTGCTATTTTCCATGAGCTGCATGTGGATACAGATTTATACACGCTCCTGTTTGGAGAGAGTGTCCTAAATGATGCTGTGGCTATCGTGCTGACATAGTAAGTACATCCACCTCCATTCTTTACTTGGCAAGATAATTACAAGCTTTAATAGCTGATGTAATTCTCACTGATATAGTTTGTGCCAGTATAGATAGAGCATTTGAAGATTTTGCTACAGAGAAGTAGTTTTGGAATTGTTCTTGGTTTGTTAAACACTAGAATTTCAATATTGTTAATGGTAACTCTATCCAGAGTGCAGTTTTTACTTCATATTCTTCAACCTAGAAAGCTGTCTACTCTGTAAAATTTGTAAAATTAATTCAATATGATTTCTCATCTAAACAAGGTATCTTGAAAAAATAATGCAGAATGAGCACCTGGGATATAGAGCAACTGTAAAATTGGAGACAGATTCTTTTTGGTTTTTGCAATCTTTTATTTTCTAAGATTAAAACCACAAAGTGGTACACAGTAGCTCAGTTTATCTACTCTTGCCTATTATCAGCTTCAGCTGATAATATTATCTTGAATTTATATATAGCTTTTTTATTCTCAGGAATCCTCAAACAGATCACAAATACTGGGCCAAAATCACACAAGTATGTGCTGTCCTAAAAATACAGATGCTAAGTATGTGATTAACAGGATCTCAACTCCACTCTACATGTATTATATGCTTCCTGAAGCTTTGCTAGAAAACCAAATAATCCTCTCAGATAATCTTAAGAGTAACAGAATTGCAAAATCAAGTTTAGTTCTCCAGGATGCTTGAAGATGCTTCACAGTAAGCCTCCATTCAGTGCCACCTTTCTCCTTACAACATGGTTCCTTGAACTAGGATTTATTCTATCCTTCAGAAAAAAAGACTTTTACAGATTTTACAGTTTTTTAAAAAACTGAGATTTAAATTTTGTCTGAAACCCCATGCAGTTTCACTTATAATAGTTGAATTAAAAAAAAAAAACACAAAAAAAACAAAAAAAAACCAAACTCGTTTCAAAATACAAAAAAAAAAAATAGTATTCTTATTTAATTTATCATTCTCCAGTTATCAGTCTAGTTACATTCACCCACACTAAACTCCTCATATTGTTTTCAGAGCAAGAGTAGTATTTTCAAACACTGTCAAGTGTCTGAGCACAGCATTTCTTGATTAGATACAGCATGGCTGTCACATCCAGTGACTGGGGCTGGAATGTGTCACTTAGAAGAGCATCTGGTACATCACCAAATGAAATGCTCAGAAGGAAAACTAATCAAAGACGAGACAACTCGGTAGAGAGAGCAGACAGAAAAGCATTAAAGCAGCTATTAGAATCAGAAAGAAGCATGTAGGTGACAGTAAGTCTGGGATCTTTTTCCTCTCCCTTGGTGTTGTTTAATAGAGGCCTAGACATTTACAGCTCATTTAGACTCTTCACCTGTTACTGCAGGATTCCTAGGCTGAGGAACTGTAAGGCTACAAGCAACTCAAGGGCACCCAGAATGTTTTAAGTATCTCTATTTTTCAGTCACTGTGATGTCAAAGCACACAGATCCCTTCAAAGGCACAACTCAACTGCAAAACAAATCTAGAAAGACAAGAACTATCAGACAGAACATGATCCATGAGTTTCTAAACTCTTCTCTTCACAGTACTCAAGTCTAGGTTTTGAATCAGCCTAAATCCTCGTGTTTTCTTTGCTGTACATGGGAGATTACAAATCTTTACTGTAGAATCTCTTGTCACTGGAAAACTAATGTTTTGGGGTTTTTTTATATTCAGTGTGACTGATAGTTTGATTTCTAGAGACATTTTTAGCAACTGAAGAGAATATATGGCATCATCAGTTTCACAATTCATGACTCTCTGGCTTAAATAATCAGCTTCTGCAGAAATACAATGCTTCTGAAACCTAACGTGATCTTCCCGTAGCCATTTAAGTAAAGATATACTGTTAATAATGTCAGCTTCAGGTCATTAACACCCCACTAAGCCAACCTGAGTTTAAATGAAGAATATTATTTTTCTATGACTGCGAAAGAACAGCTATTTTTTTTCCCTGTAACCCATACAATTCTCGTGTGCAAACACATGGTCATAATTACAGTAATAGAGGTCTATTTAAAAAGGTGTGAGAATAATGTTTACAAATCTACAAAAGCAATAATGAGTGACTTAGTACACTACATAATGGTAAACAGAAAATAGAACAAGAAAATACACAGTGTCTTTCATTATCTAACAGAATAGGCAAGATAATGTCTGCAGGAGTGACTCACTGCAGGAAAGCAGGGAGAGAAAAGAGGGAAGGCCCTTCTGGCTGGCTGTGGCAATTGGACAAGGTAAAGGTGTGGCTGACTGCCAACAAGGGTTTAGATTGATCTCTCTCCTTTCCTTCAGCTTCTCCCTCCAAACACTTCCTGCGCTGTTTATCATTTAGTTTAAGAAGGACAGCAGCAGGACCAGCTACTCCTACATTTTTCTTCTGGATTCAGTAAGTCACAGGAGCTCTGTGTTGCTGCAGCAGTAGGTACAGACACTGTGGCCAATTGCCCTCAGAAAATACTAATCAAGGACACAAATCTTCCAGGTCAGTTTAGCGACTCTCCTCTGGCCATCCTGCCGCACCAAACACCTGGGTGTTTGTGATAATTGCAAGATTTCATTTATACTGTGCTATTTTAAGATAATCCATGCAGGAGGGATCACTGTGACTCGAATAGACAGCAGTGGCTGCAGGAAGGCTGGCAAGCTGTTGTGCATCTGGGAGAGCTCACACACACAAGGGCCTCTGGAAGCAAGGGCATTGTAGATGTGACAAGGATTTTCTCCTATAAAAGTAACTTGCAGAGTTGCTTACAACTTTTCATAATTAGGATAAAAGTCTCATTTTAATAAAAAGTTTTTGACAATTCTCACAGAAAATAAATATTTTGGAAGAAAACAAGTATTTAAATCATTAAAAATTAGTAATTTATGAGCCTGGTTTAGATCAAGGATTCAAGATATTTAAGAAAAATAATAAGAGAACCTTACACGACAATACTTACTAGATTACTAAACATGTCTGCTTTTACACAGAAAAACCTGTATGATTAATTATGCCACAAATATTTCCAACATCCTTTGTTTTCCAGAAAATGAACTTGTCACCTGTGTCCACTTTCTATGTCTATTCACAGTATAAACTTTATATGTAGAAGTATTTTATACGTACTAACGTTAAAACAAATAAATAAAACATAATCTTTATGATTACAGATTGTTTCCCTATTTAGAATTTCATTTTAGACAACAGATTATGGGAATCTTTTATGAAAAGGTTGATCATATCTTCATATATTTATTATATTTTACCATATCTTTATTACAGTTTTAAAGAAATCATTCTCAGTTCTTCAGATATACACCAAGAACTTTACCTGAGTTTATTCTGTAGCTTCAGAATGAAAGAATGTCATTTAGGATTATGTTTCTTATATCACTGTATCATAATATATGCTGTATAGAATGACTTCTTTTGCTTTCTTGGAGATTGGTCTATGATGTTGTGAATATTTTCATAATATATTCTAGATTATATCTTTTCTACCACTCTTTGTATCCTGTAAATTCTGGGTTTTTCAACTTCTTTAGCTTTTTAGCAAAAATATTAATAACCAAATTAAGCTTACAAATATTCCAGCACAGATAAAGCTCTGTGCCATTTAATCTGCCACCCAGTTCCCTGAACATCACAAAGCAGCAGCCTGTTTTGCTTTGGATATGCATAGGCATTTATCCCATAGGATGTGCCCCTCAAGGTGATCTATTTCATCCACAGATTCCAGCCCCAGGAATGTTTGTCATTGCTTAGGTTTGTAGATAGAGCCTTAGATACAAATACAGTGGATTGGCTGTGTACTTAGGCACTTGTGAGCTGTGGATTTCATTCTAAAGATCAAATCAGAGAAGGATCTCAGTAACTTCAGGTGGATTTGTGTGTGTAAAGACTGTGGAATCTGGCTAAAAATTAATAATCTACAGTTACTTTTGATCAAAACATATGAACCTTCTGCTTCACTTTCATTCCTTTTCCATTGTTCTGTCTTCGTACACTATAATATATCTATCACTTGAAGAAAACATCTGCATATATTTCGAGTGCACTTGCTGTAGGTTTGAACTTGGCAGAATTTTTGCACGTTTGCAGAGAAATTTGATGAAGAAAGTGTAGAAGTTGCAGAAAAAGCACTGAATATCTTGAGATGTGACTGAAAAGCAGCTCAAGATGTCATTAGCATTGAGACAGTATATTTAGCAGAGCTATTTCATCCTTCTCATGCTGAGTGCTCTGTGAGTGCAGGATGTGGAAAGCAGTAATGAATACTGATATGTGTTCCTGCTAACAAATTATCTGAGGGAACATTGCACAAGAGATGTTTCCATTGTAGCCAATGTCAGGCGCCTCTGTATCATTATTATGCGACAGACACAACTTCATTTCTCTGCTGGCTCGGTACCATTGCTCTGTAGGCCTGATGAGCCTCAGCCCCTCCCAGAGGAGGAGATAGTGTGGAAGTCACATGGGCATCAGGGACATCAACATATGCCACTGTAATCCAAACAGGTGAGTGGCAGCCACAGGACACAGGACGTGTGTCACTGTGACACGTGTGACCCGTGGCAAGCAGTGGATTCATTCGCTCTGTTATATGCAGGCAAGAACTGTTTGATACATGAATGAAATGGAAATCCTGTAGATAAAAAGCATGGTTGAGGATCCTACAGCAAGGAAGCCAGAGAACACAGAAACTATCTGACATATGAAACGAAGACCTCCCATGTCAAAATGCTAATTGCCCTAGAAGCATAGATATTTCTGAACAGAGAGGAAAGCACAGTTTCCTTGTGAAGTTTGGCTTGTAATTTTTGAGAAAATTACCTTAAATAGTATGTAAAGGAAGAGATGGTAACCTTGAAGAGGAAAGTAAACAAAAAAAAACTGGATTATTTTGAAATGGATATTCTGCCTCTTTTGTAAAGTATCCATTGGTTGTATAGATTCGACAAAGTTCATTAATGCCTGTTAGCA